TTTTCAAGTTTAGATACACAGAAATGCATTTTCAAAGTTTAAGGGCCTAAGTGACACACCGTGACAAGTTGAAGGACATCTGCTGCATTTAACTCTAAGTTAAACTACCAATGAGAGTAAAATGACTTGGTAATTGTTCTGATTCTGATGAATCCAGTACTACTTTGACAGCAAAATTTGGACTGAATGACAACGACAGCAAGCTAAGTTATTTATTTATCGGATCTAAATGTAAATGCCTAATAGTATACTGTCTAAAATAATGTAAATGTGTTATTGCAAGCAAAGACACTGACCTGACACTTGCGAAACGAACTCAAGAACAGCCGGACAAATATTTCTGTTTTCTGAAAAAAAGTGCATTATCTGAAGTTCTGAACCTCTCTTCAGAAACTCAAACTGTACTTTTTGGCGTCCAAAGTTCCAAACCACACCTAGTTTGACAGTTCAACCCAAAGACTAAGTGCCGAAAAACCAAGAACAGGGGAACGGACAAAACGTTGACACTGCCGAGTCTTTCAACCGCGCAGAAAATTTCAGACGCGCGACTTCGCAGCCGGCCGGCAGCCCGGCTGGAACAGTGAAGCGCAGGAACGTTCCCAGCTAGTTCCTGCCGCTTTCCCGCCATCTTCTCGCCCGGCCTCTATATCAGCGCCCTCCCTTGGACTCTCCCGCTGCTTTGTTCTTGTTCATCGTCGGTCTTCCCCAATGGCTCCGCCTTCCTCCAGCAGCAGGCGCCTCCAATGGTCCGGAACCGACAACGCTGCCGGCGGCGAGCTGTCCCTGCCCCGCAGGCGCTGGCAGTCTGTGCTGTGAGTTTGGTTTTGGTCTTCTTGATTGATTCATTCATTCTGTGGTGTTTGCTTGGTTAGTCCTGAGCTGATTAGGAGGGGAATCGTCGTGGACGGTTGCTTGGTTGGTTGCAGGCAGGTTACGAGAACGAGGAGGAAGACGACGGAGGGGTTGTTTGGATTCAGACGGATCATGGAGGCGGAGTTCATGGGCATGTTCCTCCCGGTCTTTGGGTCAATGCTTCAGAGAGTGGTGAGGACTCGGTCAGACTAAGTACTTTTTTTTGTTTACTTTTCTTCAGATCTGGTTGATTTTGCTGTTTACGGGTGTTTTATTAGCTATTTCCTGGTTGATTTCGATAGTTTGTTTTAGTACTTTTAGGTACAAATTGCAAAATCTCTGTTGAGATTTGTTGAAGGGGCCTCTTTTAGTGCAAATGTTTCAGCTCAAAGAGAAGTTCAGTTTTTGCTGATAGTCTGCTGTATTCAGAGGAATGAGCTCAGTGGAGTTCTTGTTTCTGTATTAACAACTACTGCTCCTAGAACTCTTCACTGTTCTGACTTCTGACATTTGCTTATTTCAGGTCTCAGAGGAGGTAGAGAAAGCAATGTTCAGACAATTCAGTGCACCAGCAGTACCTCCAAGGTAAGACATATATAGTTTCCCCTCATATTAATGAATCAAGTTCCATTAAACGAAACTGTGTTGTTCCATTTAAGTGCACAAATACATTTCCATTTGTTTCTTAGATATTTTATATTTCACTGCTGCTATCATTTCAACTGTTCCTTTTATCCAATTATAGATTACTGGTGGACAGGAATCAGCACCCGAGGTACCAGCTCATGTTCTTAAACGGTCTGAAACCCGTGTACACAATGACAAAACTAGAATCAGACGACGGAACAGCACTGAAGGTGGCAATAGTCGAAAGGCTTGAAAACAGTCGGCCTAACATCGTCAGATACGGCCCTCTCTCTTCTAGTAGGGTTGAAGTTGTAGTCCTCCATGGCAACTTCAATGCTAAAAATGAGGAATCCTGGAGCCCTGAGGAGTTCAAGAAGCACATCGTATCCGGTCGAGAGAAGAGCGCCCAGCTTCTCACTGGGAATCTGGCACTGAAGCTCAATGGAGGCGAGGCTGTCCTTGAGAATGCAACCTTCACCGATAACTCCAGCTTCACCAGCACCAAGATGTTTAGGCTGGGGTTGAGGCTTGTTAATTCTTCTGGAGAGAGAGTTCTTGAAGGCGTCACCAAGCCTTTTCGTGTGAAGGAGCGCAGGGTGGAAGGTATGCCTTTTTTTGCCAAACATTCAGATTCAATATTTTTCAGAAACTGCAGTCTTGGTATTGGTTGGAGGCTTGGAGCTCAGAGTCAGAGTTGACACCGTCATATTCATCTGACCTTTGTTGTAGGATTTGAAAAGCACTACCCTCCAATGCTGGAAGATGAAGTGTGGCGTTTGAAAAAGATTGGTAAAATTGGTGCTTACCACCAGGCCTTGTCCGATAATGGAATCCATTCGGTGCAGGAGTTCTTACGGGCTTATATGAAGGATGAACAGAAGCTTATAAAGGTAAAGGCTCTACAAATTTCTTCCATTAATAAATACCAGTTGATGTTCTTAAACATGTTCAACATGGTGGACTGATACAAGATCTTTGACTTTTCTACATCTAGATTTTCAACAAGATGCCACAGTCAACATGGAAATCCATCATAGAGCATGCCATGACGTGCAAGGTTGGCGACAGTCTTTACCTTTACGAAGTTCAGGGCAAGGATGCGGGTCTTTTCTTTGATGAGATATATCAGCTTGTTGGGGCAAAGTTCGGTGATTGTTACAAGCCGATTGACCAGCTTAACGAAATAGAGAAGGTGCGGTCTCCTCATCTGCTTCAAACCAGGAGAGTCTCTTTATTATTCTAATTATTTTGGTGCTTTTCACCAACAGAATTTAGTGCAAGCCCTGAAGCAAGGAGCCTATCAGAATATAGATGGCTTGCAGCCTAACTACAAGATGGTGAACAACTACCCTGTACTCTGCAGTTTCCCTGCACAGGGTACTTCCCTGTTTAGTGCTCTTCATCCAAATCAGCAGACACTCAACTATGGTAATGCCTAATTCTGTAGATTTGATTCACAACTGTAGTATAACTTTGCATATCTAGTCAAGTAATCATTGATATCAACTTTTTCCAGATATGGGGGAAAGCTCAACTGGAGTAGGATTTGGATCAAGGCCTTCAAGGGAGACTTTCAACACATCCCTTGGAGCCAGTAATGTAAGTAGTGCTTTAGATGCGGATAATAGTAATAACATGTATACCAGGTATCTAAGATATTGCTGTCATCAATCTGCAAACAGGTGCCGGTTGATATATCTAGGTTTGTTCAGGGGCAAAGTTCCAATTATATGCCGTTAAGACATGAGCAAACAATAAACAGAGTTCTACCATATGATTCAAGCAAAGGAGCCTTGTTACCCAGACCAAGACTTACACAGTTGCAGATACCAAACTCTGAGGGGACATTTTTTGGTCCAGATGCTAGTCCGCCTGCTGTTATTCCAAACAACATTCTGGTTGGTCAGGGTGCTGCACTCTCTGAAGAATCATACAGTGTAAGCCATTTTTATCTAATTTGATTGAAACTGATGAATTCAGTGTCAACTGCGTATATTTGACTGGGCCAAATCTAACTCATTTTGTGCCTGCAGGGTCTTCCAGTCGACAGTTTATCATCTACGGACGTGATCATGTCTTTGATGCAATCTTCATTCCAGCTTCCGAGAAACAGTAAGTACATTGAAATATTCTGCTACAGCTATTTTACAAAGATTGATGCTCACATACTTTCTATGGCATCTGCAGGTGACAGTTTTAGCAACCATTCTGAACAGCAATGCCATGGTCCTACAACAATGCAGTTACAACAATTTGTCACTGGGTTCCAGCCATCAAGAACAAACAGTTTTGACTTAAACTCATGCGATGAACTCGTACAGAACTTCATTTCCAAGATTTCAAAAAGTGAAGGGGCATCTACACCACTTTCACCCCGCAAATGGGTCAAGATCAGAGCCGCGTTGAAGTTAGCATCTGTAGGGAGGCTCTCCAGGACCTCAAGGAGGGGTCCGCATTGCAACCCACCAAGGCCAAGGCTTGTACCGATAATATGAGCACTCTTAAGAGGCACCCACAGATTTTGTAAAAGAGAAAATTTAGGATCAAAGATCCATCTGGTTATTGAACTCTATAGCACTGGCGGAGCCAAGGGGGGGCTGGCAGGGGCCATGGCCCCCCCCCAATGTTTCACAACAACAAAAAATAGTAGTATGACTTAATATTTTTTATTTATATTAAGAAGGAGATTATATAAAATTCTTGTCATATATACCTATTAATATCTTCTAGATAATATAATTATACAAAACACAACTAGATAATAAAATTATCGCAATGAAAAAGACCGAGCCGGCCCCCCTAAGTATAATTCCTGACGGCCGGCCCCCCCTGAGTATAAATCCTGGCTCCGCCAGTCTATAGTATTGTTAAATAGACACTCCAGAGAAATCTGTTTAACTTAAAGTAGAATGGATTATGTTGAACAATTAGGTACCTGTACATAGAGGAGCTAGTACATTACTTTTATCAGTTTATAGTATTTGCATGCTGAAGATTTCAAGTATCTATGTTATTATCTATGAATTCAGGAGAATGTACAGAGCTTATAGTTTTTTCATCTCTTTCCCAGTTTATTTTGTTCAAAAGGGTGACTCTACTAGATGCAGTGATAAAGTTATAATTAGTCTGTAATTGACGATTCATTATGGGGAAGGCTAACATACATGTGACAGAGAAAGCTGTAAACTTGGCACATGTCTATTACAAGCAACTTTCAGTTGATGCTGTCATGGTCATGGCTAATAGACACACGATACAACATTACTTTCTAAGTGTGGAAAATGTACAGAAATCTCAATTCGAATTTCCTTCATATTTATCATCTTTCTGTCCTCTTTGGTGTCTCTTTCCAAAATTAATGTAATAAATAAAATGTTTTACCTATCAGAATGTGCATCAGTTTACATCATTGTTCTTGAACCTTGTGGAGGTTAAAAAAACGCACTCCTTTTGGCCTTCCTGATATCTCACCTTGACCCAGATGAGCATGGTCACAGCAAATCAGCCTTCACATTAATTGATTACTTTGCAATGCCAATTTTTCCATTTGGTGTTCTTCTTCCACCTATGCTGCTTAAAGTTAGCTGGTTCCTGTTCCTGGTTGGTGTTTGCAGTTTTTTCTGCGACAGTGGAGACTTGCTTGCCAGATTTGTACTCCTAAGTAATTCAAATGCAGTAGGACAAGCTAATCATTTGCACAGAATAATTACATGCATGTGTAAAATAGCATGTGAACTCACGCTCACCTCATTGATGTAGCTTCAGGCTTTATAGTTGAGGCGCCTCTATTGGCAATACCAGAAGCTTTTAGTCCCATGGTTGACATCCCAATCTCTTGGTTGGAACAGCTAGTAGCAGAATCAAAGCCGTGTAGACCCACCGATGGTACTGATTCAGTCCTACAGCTTTGTTGCACAGGACTGTATATTTGATAGAAAGAAGTTGGAAGCTGTGCTGTGTCAGGCTCCAACTCTAGGATGGAATTAGAATTCTCAAAGTGGTTGTCTCCAAGAGCCATCTTGTCAACCCAACCCCCTAATCCTATTTCCTTCTGAGGACCATTGCAATTCTGAACTGAGTTAGACGAGTTGTTCTCAGTGAGGATGCCAGACAAATGCATTTTTGACCTCTTTTGAGCTGGAGTGAAGACATTCTGGACCTTTTACAAGCACAAAAGAGAATTCTGATAAAATATACAATACAGTTCATCATGTCAAGAAGATTAAAAGCAACTGGTGGTATCATCTCCAATATTGAGACTTCTTTCTGTTCAGATCATGTACCGAAATGTTTTCAACTTAATGGTGACTTTGTTTTCATAGATAGCTCTATGTTAGAATTGATTTTCCACTCTCAAATTATGGGCATGCAGATATCTTAATTTCTTCAAAATATTTAGCAAGTTTTCTTCCTATTGAAATTTGGAATCATAACTAAGTAACTAACACATGTAAACCTATTTTTTAAAATAGAAAAAGAAATAATTTCAAGAAAAAGAACTGAAATAGACTGGGAAAATCACCTCTAGGTTCCCAACTTCTTCCATTGGAGCTGCAGGTGTTGCATTGCCTTTTCTAATTCTGTATATGCTTGGGCTTGACTGTGTGCTTAGAATGTTCTCCGGTTCTCCTTCCTTCTTAGCCAATGCAGCCTTGAGGAAAGCAATCTGAAAAGACCAAAATAATATTACTTACTTGTAAATCAAAATGGCAGTGTCATCTGTAGCCTTTTTTTTATAGAAATAAGCCATAAGGAGTGTGTAGACACCTGTTCTTTGAGCTCTCTAATCTCGCTGCCTTCTTTATTTGGTTTTGCTGCACCAAGCTCAACAGAGGCAACACGTTCAGCAAATTTCAAGGTGCTTATCGTCTCACCAACAGCGTCAAGTTCTGGGCTTATGTGAACAAACATAAGCGTTTTTGCTTGTCCTCCTGAATATAACAACAAAATGTTCATGACAGGTTCCACTACTACCGAAGTGATAAGTAAGGATGCTAACTTTTCTATATTACCTAGTGAATCTTGCAAGAGCTGGGTGAGCTTGCTGTTTCGGTAAGGTACATGTGTGTTCTTTTGGGAAAGGGATGCAATCACATCTCCCAGTGCTGAAAGTGACTTGTTTATGTACTGAGCCTCCTTTAGTCTATCTCCAACAACCTCAGACTTATCAACCCTTTCACTGCCTGCTAGATCCACCAGATGCATGCAACCTCTTAAAACTGTCCCAGATGTCAAATCTCTTCCTTGCATATGAACAGTCAAACAACTGCATGTGGATTCCAAAGTAATAAGTAAAAATATGAAGTGAAGAACTTCTCTATGTGAAGGAATTATGCCAAGCCAAACCTGTGGGAGCGGCTACTGCGGTCATTTATGGCTGTTGAACCCACTGCACGATTCTTTTGGCCTTGATTCATCAGTTCAACAACATCAGACGTAGATGTGACAGGAACCATGCTTGCATCTGGAACTGCAAGTCCTTTCTGTGATGTATTTTTAATTTCTAATGTAGCTCAATGTCAAGGATATTCAAAATGTCCCTCAAATAAACTAAGATCAGAAGAGAAAAACAAAGAAGTTTTTACGGACTTCTCAAACAGAACCAAAGGAGTGTTAACACTACAGCCAGATTTTGTACTAGTCAAAAGGATATCTTCTGTTTCCAGTATCCTGAAGGAGATCTCTCACTTGCTCATTGTATATCTCGATCATCTGTACAGAAATATCATAATCTATTGTCCCCTTTCTCTGTGCTTGGAGATTAAATAAGTCATTTAATGCTCTATAGTTGACACCTAGGCTTTCCTCTGTTAAAACTTTAGGTCCACTCTGCAAAACAACCATACAATGATCAAACTTTTGAGGAAAAAGGATTACTCCAAGCGTACTATATTTGTTAGCACAGCCTATTACCATTGTATAAGTCTTCCCAGATCCTGTTTGGCCATGCAAATATGCAGACATTGAAACCATCAAGAACTGAACGTATCAATGGTTGCATATCTGAAAAGACCTCATCTGCATTAACAAAAAAGAAGCATGACATTCATTGTTAAAGTCATGCCAAGTTTTTTTTAGATGAAATGCACTATATGAACTAGTTAGAACCTTGAGTGGCTGCTGGACCAAAGACTTTGTTGAAAGTGAAAGATTTGCTTCCATCTTTTCCATATTTTGTAGGAGTCATTATTGTAATGGTTCTTTCTTCCATTCCAGCAACACTGCTTAAGGAACTTATTTGCCCAGGAAGGAAAGGCCTGACTCGACAATAAACTCTAATATTTCCTAGAGACAAAAGAAACCAGCATTTATATATAATGTAGACTATGATCCTGTACCTTCTGCTCCTTCAATGCACAAAATTATACCTTTAAGATCCTGTATCTGGTTGTATAACTTGCGATTTTCCTCAAGAACTTTATGGTATCCAGAAGCAGCATCGGATAGAGTGTACAAATGCTTCCCTATTGCAACATGGTGACGAAGACGCTATCAAACAATTGGTCTAATTTTGGAGGGTGAATGCAAAATGATCAACTTTAATTTACCAAGTTTAGTGAACTCCTCAGAGTAGTGCCATTTCAGTTGTTCCATGCCAGACTTGATAGAAGAAACAGTACCTCTCAACTCCTTTAGGAAACAAAAAAATGTTAAAGAAAGGTCGATGGGCATGATTCTTAATCAAGATGAAATCATGAGTTCATGATGGGGAAAAAAGGCATACCTTGATCTGTTTGTGCTGTAGATCAAAATTTATTTCTTCCTTTAGTTGGAACTTTTGAGCTGCATTACTACCATTTACTGCAAAATTGACCTCCTCCTTTGTAGTCAAGATATTTTGCTTCTCTTCATCCATCTTCATTTTATTCAACAAGCAGTGACAAATATTAGTATATGAAATCTGTTCTTCCATGGACGAAGTAACTTAATTACAAGATATAGTCGGCTATGTCGATTCAATTTCTGTAGATTGAGGATAAAAACAATATGCTTTGACATGATCACAGGTGGAAGTGTTGTATGATTCCAGTAGCATGTCACATATGGAAAATGATTCAGTTCATTTAAGATTTCATATGCTTTCAACTGCTTTTTTTCCTCCCACGTTAATAGTCTTTATGGATAGTAGCTAGTTTTTCTATAGTTTGCAACCCAAGAAAATCAAACAATATAGATTTCTGAATAATAGAAAGAGCATTTTTCATGTCAGTAATCAAACAAGACATACCAAGTTCTGATTTGCAAAGCGATGTTCGTATTCCTGAATAACTTTGCTTAGTAGTGTTTCAACAATCTGCAAATTAGCAATGCAATTTTAAGTCTTTATGTTCATCAAACATACTAAAGAGAGATCAACAACCTACTCAAGCAAAGTATGCTTACCAATGGGATTTCTTCTGGTTTCTTATCTAAGAGAATTGTGCGGACAACCGTGCTAAGGGAGTCTGAAGTAGTCTATAAAACAAGACAAAAGTCATGACTGAGTGTGAAATAAGAAATTTTGCTACATTGCACTTACTACCTCATAGGATTCTGGAGAACAATCAGGAAATAACTTTTGCTCTCCTGGAAAACCATTCTGGGTAGCCTCTTCTGAATGGATTCTCGCATTCTTATTCATAAAAGCATCAGAATTCTTAAGTATGAAATATTTTCCAGAAGCCAAAGGCTTCGAAATGCCACCATATTTACATGCAGCTTGCCTCCCTGTTTTCTTACTTTCACTGAATGACTTCAGAGCAAGAATACAGTCCACGATTCGAACACTTTTGCCACCCTATATACAAATTGGAAGATAAAAAACGTTAAGTTTTCTAAAAGTAAACTTTGCACAAGAATAATTTGTTCCAGGTGCATTGTAAACCATGAGTTACAAGAAAAGAATTGTCACATGCGACTCTCTTGAATCAGGATGACATGACTACCTTCTCCAAATCAGACACCTCAAATGTTGGGAGGCCAAAATCTTGTATAACGACAAGGAAGTTTCGCAGATTTTCAAAGTACTGATAGGCACACAAAGCTGAGCCATCTGCAGGAACAGCAGTATCTGACGGGACCCCAACAATCTAGAAGTATTATCAACGTTGACAAAATATTGGCATCAGATATTTGGCATATGTGACAGCTAGCAAAATTAAATTAGAAAATTCAATGTGAGATGTGTAACCTTGGGTATGGCGTCTGGCTGGACCTTATTCAGTGCGTTGCAGAGGACAATGCCATTTCTCAGTCCAAGCTGTAATTCCTCCTCAGAGGGCTCTTCTGGCAGGTCCCTTGCACACACTACCCCAACCGTTTTTCGCAACCAACTGGCTGCTTCATGCCTTCTTATTGCTGCATTAACCAAGAGGGGAAATAAGTGCACCTTCCTCTTACATACTGTAATAATCACAGACAGAGATGCACTTGAAATTTATAGATTTTCAGGTAATAATAAGGCCAGACTTAAATTTCCTTGGTGGAGTAGTAATCCAACTAAAAGTAGCTGTCAAATTCCATTCTACTTAACCCTGATTTGGTATGCTTGATGTTATCTTACCACGGTGTCATACTCTCATGCTAGCATTGTGTTTGTAAGAATGTGTGTCATCAACAATCACAGCAGTATTTCTCCAAAAAAAGGAAAAAATAATCACTATAATATAATTTGCATAGCTGCTCCACTTGTACAGCACTGTATTGTGGCCATAAATGGACATTTTAGTCCAAACCAATATATAGCAAAGGGTAAATAAGAAAACATAAAACCTTTCTCCAGTGAGATGCAGAAAACATGGATCACATTAAGTCTACGCGACTGAGCTCAACAGGAGCTCAAGATTGAAACGGTAAACTACCAGATAAGGTGTTCAATCACTGCATCCCACGAGGATTATGCCACCCAAATCATTCTGACAAATTTGAAAATCCGAACCCGTCCTCAGTGAATCAGACTTCAGTGTCAAACCGATCCACTGCAACACAAAGATGAGACTCTCCGTGCCCAATCGCCCAGCCTTTCTTCCGAAAGCGCCCAGCTAAAACCAAGAACACCTTACAGCAACAGACATTAAACAATCCGATTCACCCCCTGATTCAGCGCGATCCGCGCGGCAGGTGCCCAAGAACCAATATATCGCAACCAACTGGCTGCTTCATGCCTTCTTATTGCCTCATTAACCAACAAGGGAAATAAGTGCACCTTCCTCTGACATATTGTAATAATCAGAGACAGAGATGCCCTTGAAACTTATGGATTTTTCAGGTAATGATAAGGCCAGACTTAAATTTCCTTGGTGGAGTAGAAATCCAACTAAAAGGAGCTGTCAAATTCATTCTACTTAAACGCTGATTTGGTATGCTTGATGTTAGCTTAGCACAGAGTCATGGTAGCATTGCGTTTCTAAAAATGTGTCACATCAATAATGACAACAGTATTTCACCAAAAAAGGAAAAAAAGAAACAATCACTGCAGTATAATTTGCACAGCTGGTCAACTTGTACAGCACTATATTGTGGCCATAAATAGACGTTTTAGTCCAAACCAATATATAGCAAAAAGGGAAGAAGACATAAAACCTTTCTCCAGTGAAGTGAGATGCACAAAGCACGGATCACATTAAGTCTACGCGACTGAGCTCAACAGGACCTCAAAATTGAAACAGTAAACTACCAGAGAAGCCGCTGAATTACTAGATCCCACGAGGATCATGACACCCAAATCGTTCCGACAAATTTGAAAAATCGAACCCGTCCTCACTGAATCAGACTTCAGTGTCAAACCAACCCACTCCGACAGAAAGACGAAACTCTCCGTGCCCAATCGCCCAACATTTCCTCCCAAAGCGCCCAGCTAAAACCAAGAACACCTTACAACAACAGACACTAAACAATCCGATTCGCCCCATGATTCAGCGCGCGTGATCCGCGCAGCAGCAGGTGCCCAAGAACCGAACTCACCGGCCTCCTCCGCCCTGCGCGCGGCCACGTCGTCGTCCCCGACGCTCCCGGCACCCCGTCGCATCGCCTCCTCCAAAACCGCCGCCGCCGCAACCATTCCCGACGCAGAGTCGAAGAACCCCCGAGCCACCACCGCCGGTTCCGACAAAGCGCGCGGACGAGATCGGGCCGTGGAGAGGAGAGGAGAGAGAGAGTGTGTGTGTGTGTGTGTAGTCGTAGAGGGTGGTGGACTGCACTCGCGAGTCGCGTCTGCTGGAGGTGGGGGCGGCAGTGGGAGCCTGGGAGGGAGAGGGGTGGTGGGTATTCTCGGGATCGGGCGGCGCTGGTTTCGAACGGCGATGGCGCTCGAGGGAGGAGAGAGCGGTTGGGATGATGTGGAATTGTGGACGTTGCGGGGGGAAGGGAAGGGAGGCGGTGGCGAAGTTGGAATAGGGAGATATCGTGGGGGTGATCTGCAAAATGCTGTACCTTTGTTTCGTGCACATACTCTTGCATTTTCTTGGATCCTGGTTTAGTGGGCTGTCGTCGCAAAAAAAAAAAAAAAAAATCCTGGTTTAGTGATGATTCTTGTACATCGGTGGATGGATGTGTTGTGGCCGTTGGATTTTCTTTTGGCTTGTTGTGACAGCGGAGCTAAACATAATAGAATCATTGCTAAACGTATTTTAATCAGGTGGTATTGTTTTGCTTGCGCTGCTTCACACGCGTAACTTGGCATCTTTCTTTCTTGACCTTTTTGGACTGTAATGTGGCGACCATCTCATCCCAGGCTCGTGACGAGGGTGGTCATAATGCCCACTTCTAGATCCTTTGCGTATATATCCCGCCCTTTGTGAGATTCACCTTTTTCTCTTGCTGCATTATCCATTATGATTGGTAGATACTGCCCGCTAATATAATATCTTTTAGGTGGGTTGTCGTCCGGATTCCGCCATCAATGCATAGCCTAAAACCCCTAACCTGATGCCTTCCACTCCCATAATGTCATGACAAATCACGCGCTCGAAGCACATGTGTGGAGAGTTGGGATTCCGAAGTTGTGTGTAATTGAGTAATTACACGAGATCCTACTAGGGATAGCTAGGATGCAATTACAATGGTATTCTCACAATGCTATTTGATCATGGGCGCTTCTTTCTCGCCAGAGGATGGAACCTTGGGTGCGTGAGATATGTTTTATTTATAGCCTCTAGGTGAAGGGACGTGGTGTTTTTTCCTTTCCTAATAATTAGTACGTGTGCAATTATGAGGTTTTATGGCATTTTGGTATTTATTACAGTGAAGATTGCCTGTCTAAAGTCTTACCACGCCTTGATTTTTGCCTACTTTCCTTTAAATATGCTATAGTATACTGGACCACCATGTTGCATATGGGGCTTTTCATGGAATTTTTTTTCCTAGAACGGTAAGTAATATATTTGTGAAATGAAATCATTAAAGATGTCAATTTTCCTCCTTCTAATTGTCATAGTAACAACTTTCTATTCATATGTCCTTTTGTTTTATGTTTTCCTGGGTTGTTGGTTTCACCGTAGGATTAAACTAAAGAAAGGTACACATGCATATAGCATGTAAAGTTAGGTCTTAGGTGCAACCTGATTAGTCTGGCCAAGGAGAGGAAGGCAGAACTTCGACATCAAATTGGTGGCTAACAACACCATAGAAACTATTAACTACTTTATTTCCCCTCCATTTTTATGGTGCACCTTCAATTTGTCGGCATCACCCGCATCTATTTAAATTAAATGACTACTATATTGTTTATTATCATTGAACTCTCATGCCCTTACTATTCTCACGGTATATATTGTTTGGAGCTATGAATAAAGGGAATCACTATAATACAGGCACCTGAAAAATGGGTTTCTCTTAGGTGATGATGTAGAGTCGTTAGATCATCATCTTGTGGTTGGGGTTGCGCGCGCACTATTCATCTTCCTCAATGCGTCCGTGTGGTTTCTTCCTCCTCGCGTCCACGCCAGTCGCCGCCCACCCTCTACTGCCCTGCAGCGGCACTATAGGGTCTCGTGGAGCTCCGCCACAAGCCCCCGTGGCCGCGGAGCTTCGACAAGACCCTACCGCGCCCACGGCGGCCTTCCTCTTCCCCTCCCCCTCCCGTCGCCACCATAGCCATCCTCGCCCCCGTCTCGACCTGTCCTGGCCGCCTCTACCGCCGCCAGGGTCCCTAAACCGCCCGACCGGCGTCCCCACAGCCTGGCCAACCTTCCTCCCCTCAAAATCCCTTCTAAACCCATCGGAATTGGAAAACTTACCTTGCCGGAACCCTAGCAGTGGTGAACTTCTCGTCTCATACGCTGGCGAGCTCCTCTTCCACGCAGTCGTCTCCTTCTTCGACTCCGGTAGGGGAGTGGGCGTGTGGGGGCGCGGGCGCGCGGGAGCTCGGTCGTGGGCGCCATCGCCTGAAAGCTCCTCAAATTTCAGTCGACTGAAATCTAGGAAAAGTGTGATGAATAAATGGCCGTTAAGCTCCATACGACGAGGACTTTGTAGTTATTTTCTTTAAAAAATCAAGACAAATTTAATTAAATTGAATGGAGAAGTACGAATTGCGATTGTCGAAATAACAAGACAGAAATCAAGAGGCAATGTCGAGTAGTACTTGGTCGGTAGGAATCAGGGAATCACATTCATATAAGCCACTTATGTAATTGGATTACTTGGTCGGTAGGAATAAAAAAATTATAATCTTTTTCCCTGAAACACCAGAGTGGGGTCGCTCGAGCGGGTTTGATTTTTCAATTCAGGTATGTTTTCTCATTTCTCACGGATGAATTTTGGGGCCTTTGGAGTTTGGAAGGAATTTCTTATCGGGTACAGATGGGTCTGAACCCGGGCCCACTTACAGAGAGCGGAGGCGCATGATGACGATTCACGAGATCAGCCCAGCTGAGGACCATCCCAACGGTCGGGAAGGTTAAAAGTTGACTCTCAGGCTCCAACTTTTGACTTAAGCCCCTGATGATTCGTATAATTACGAGGCGATCTTTCCGTTGGAGATTTTGATTCTCTTTCCGACAGCACACTATAGGTAGCATAAATAAATAAAATAAAAAGAATGGGATACGAGGATGGCATCTTCCTTGCTGTGAGGCTGACGTGTCAATGGTACCAGCAGATTCAAATTATTCTGTCCTTCATTTAACACAATTTTTTGAATGTAAATTTCTCCAACTTGGACAATAAATATTTCTCACCACGGGCGACTTTTGTACTTGTGGTGCATCATGTATATGTGTGTTCTACGTCGTGATGCGTAGCACAGTTTTAAAAAATCGTAAACTTTTGGTAAAAACTGAGATGAGGACAATTTATATATAAAATTGCTGCTCTCAATAAGATCTATGACTTCCTAGCTCATCATTTTTTATCTGAAGCCATTTAAATGCCCAAATGAGTGCTGCAAAGCTAAAATCTGCTTGTTGATTTCAAAATAGATGTAAACTTTGTAGAGTTCATGTGGGTATCCAAATCGACATAAATAAAAAAAGGACCAAAAAGTTATAGATCTCATCGAAAGCCTATAGTACTTTTTAGATAATTTTAATCTTAATCTGAGTTCGTATGAAAAAGTTATATTTTATAAAAAAAATCGTGTTGTGCAATGCAAATAATTCATGGCCCATTGGTGAAGAAGAAATATAAAAAATCCCCATTGAATGGGAGATAGCAGATAGGTCACCAAATATGATAGATCCAACTTGCAATCCTTTTCATCGGGATGCTTCTAAACCTCATCCACTCAAAAGGGTAAAAGGTCGATCACATCCATAATTTGCCAACTGGGAAGGCGTTTCGGATCACCCACTGAGTAGATGATTGGAGGCAATATTTGTATTTTTTAAATGCACTATAGAAAATACAAAAACAAAAAATGGAATGAGAGGCACGAATGGGCCGGCAATGAGCTCTCGTCCTGTCAGATGGCTTGCTTTGACCTTTGAGAGGTGTATTGTAATAGGAAAAAGTCTGTATTACTTCACTCAACTTTTATGAAAGTCTATTTTTCTCTCTGAACTCTAAAACCGGAAAAACCACCTTCCTGAACTTTTAAAACCGTTCGTTTTACCTCACTTACCGGTTATAAGCGGTTTTTAAAGGTGGTTTTATCTTTTCTTTTTTATTTATTTCTGTTGAATCTTTAAAAAATCATAGTAAATCACAGAAAAATCATAAAATAGAAAATCTAATTTTGTTGGACTCCACGTGAGTAGATCTACACAATGAACATATAATATGGTATGCTTTAGTACAAATGTTTTGCTATATCTTTAGATCTATGTTTTTTCTGTAATTAATTCATAGCTGCAGTTTCTGTGGGCCAAGTGTGGTGAAATTTTTATGGTGGGATAATTATTGTATGCTTGGACTGTAGTAAAAATTTTATACTCATTGGATCATGTATAACTTAGTTTTAGATTTATTTAGGTGACCCCATATATAACTTCATGTCCTTCGACTAATTCAGCTGATGTACAAGTTCTTTTTAGGGTAATTATTACATGTTCATTACCAAGGTTAGTGAACCAAAAACAAGCTTCTTCCTTTGTTTAAATTCACACCGGACACCAAATATTCAGTCCTAGCGAGATGCATGTACAGTTTTGAGAGAAGCTTCTTCTTTTATTTGAATTCACATTGGACACAAAATATTCCAGTTTTCCAATAGTTGGCAGTTGGCACCCAATGTGTTCGCAACCATAGTTGCCTCCGCAAATCGATAAATGGAGGGATGAAAGATTGACACTTTGGCCTTTGCCACGTCCTAATTAAACAGAACACTGAAGAGATATACAGCATACCCTCTGCAGTATGGAAAAGCCTGCTGAGTTGGAAAGGATAGCCTCACCCTCAATCTAGTGAACTTGGCAACAAAAAGTTCTTCTAGAGCAACCTCTGAATTTGGAACATTCATGAAACTAAACCGAGCATCAGCACTTATCTTGGCTGAAGGCAATGAGTAGACTAACGTTGTTTTAGTGCTGCAGCAAAAACTGATGTATTGCCCTTATTTTTCTCCATGATGTCATCAGTCGAAGGCATCAAAAGCCTTAAAAGCTCATGCTCAATGTTCACCGATCCTGCTCTCATGGCATACAAATACAGTCCTTACTATTTTGCACCCTACTACCTATTTGCAAGGAATATTAAACTAATCAATCACATGGCGAAAGTAGAAGAGGAAAATTTGCCACAATCATACACAGTATTAAATTCCACATCATACTTTCATACATAAGTCAATATTGTTCTGATAATTAGATTGCAAACTCAAATTCCCAAGCACAAAGTGAGTACAATCCTGATTCAGCTACCATCTTGCGGAAGAGCCCAAGACAGCATCAAACTAAGTAGCAAGCTACTGACTTTAGAGATAAATAGTACTACTAATTATTAATGGTACCAGTGGTCTAGAATACATTTAGGAGCGCAGCACAGCAGCAAAATCAAGAGATACCGCACTGAAAACCATGATTCTGTTGTATTAATTTCCCTCATGATTTAGAGGCCCTTGCACTTGTAATTTGGGCTTCTTAGGCATTTGACACATGCCAGCAGCTCCTGGCCCCTCATTTGCAGAGACCGCAACACCAGCTCCAGGTCCCTTGTCTGTAGAGATTTTTTTTACACTTTTTTTTTAAATTATTTTTAATTCTAACACTGTTTAATTTTTTTTTCAAAACTAACACTTTTGGCCGCACCTATTTGCACGGCGCGGCGAAATCACGTTGCCGCGCCATGCATGGGGGCGCGGTAGGAACGGTGACGTGGCAGCGACAGGGCCACTGAACGCTGACGTGGCCGAGGTTGTCGCGCCGCGGATCTGCGCGCGGCACTGACGCGCCACGGAGCATGGCACGGCAAGCCTGTGGCAAGACAGGCAGGCGAGCAGAGGTCAGGAGCGGAGTGAGGTCGGTCAAAGATTCGGTCTTGTGTTTTCGAGCGCGACGAGCTGGCGCCCCCCCCTCCCCCACGCCTGCATTCACACACACATGGTCAGCAACGCAGGACGTGATTTGACGCATGACGCTGACAGGCAGGCGAGCAGAGCTCAGGGCCTCATTATGATCCATCCATCTCCATCCATTGGTTCGGTCTGTATGCGGTTTAGACTTTCGAGGCCAAAGACATAGGAGTATGGGAGTAGAGTACGTATTGCGTGAGTACTCTATACACGCCTCGACCTACTGGATACCCTATACGCTAGTACACAGGCCCGGCCGCTCCAGGCCTTCGATGCCAAAGGGCCCCAGCAGCCGTGTGTTGGACGTCGTAGAGCTTTGAGCAACAACTAACCAGCCAGTAGAACACTGACGCTTTGCTAAAAAAAATAGAATGCGCGCTGGTGCAGTCTTGGAATTTTGCACGCCCGCACATCCTCCTCTCCAGATTTCTGAATTCAATGGCCATCTTGAATCGCTAATTCCTCCTGTTGTGCTAAATGGATGATCAACTTTGCATAAATAATGAATGTTAAAGTTCATGTGTTTATTATTAGATCCGTGATAATTTTGCATAAATAAACATTAAAAGGAAATTTAAGGTGATTTAATATGTATTCCCTTAGTCGCAATGTAACCTGTACTTCCTCCGTCCCAAATTAAAAAAAAATCGACCCACAGGGGTAAGACAACCCCCAGGCATCGTGCTTTAGAAAAAGACTTTCTCACGCAGGTCGAGAAAACTCCCGAACCTCGGCCCCACCCATACACATCGACACCGTAGCTCCCGTGAAACTAAGCTGACCTTAGACCTGTGCTTTAACGTGGGGCAGACAAGGGGATTGTTTTTTCAACGCGCAAATAAATTGCATCTCCTCCTACCAACAAATCCGCCCCCGTGGGGGTTCGAACTCTGACCGACAGGGTGGAAAGCGCACAGCCAAACCAACTGATCTAGCATTCACTTGGCTCTGTCTCAAATTATAAGATGTTTTCTAAACATACTATATATATAGGTGCGTGGCAAAGGCTTTGAATCTAAAACAAAAATTTCTTATAATTTGAAATAGAAGCAGTAAATCGTTTAACTTTTGCCCTAAATTAAACATGTCTATTTATATGCAACATCAAACAAGATTTCGAATGATACTGAGTACAAATAAATTATTTCATAAAATATTGCTTATATATTTTAAGTGTTTATTTGTAACATTTAATATATAATCATATAGTATTATTTACGTATTAGGGGGCTCTGATTACACGCGGTGTGTAAATTGACACACGGTCACTGGCCTGCCTGTTAGCGTCATGCGTCAAATCACGTCTTGCGTTGCTGACCGTGTGTGTGAATGCAGGCGTGGGGAGGGGGGGCCACCAGCTCGTCGCGCCCGAAAACACGAGACCGAATCTTTGACTGACCTCGCTCCGCTCCTGACCTCTGCTCGCCTGCCTGTCTTGCCGCGCCATGCTCTGTGGCGCGTCAGTGCCGCGCCCAGATCCACGGCGCGGCAGCCTCAGCTACGTCAACGTTCAACGGCCCTATCGCTGCCACGTCACTGCTCCTACCGCGCCCCCATGCATGGCGCGGCAACGTGATTTCACCGCGCCATACGAATAGGCACGGCCAAAAGTGTTAGTTTTAAAAAAAAACAGTGTTAGAATTAAAAATAGTTTAAAAAAAGTGTTAAAAATAAAAATATTCTCTGTAGAGACCGCAATATCAGCTACTGGCACCTCATATGTAGAAATGGCAACACCAGTTTCTGGTGTATCATCAGTGGAGACTGCTCCCGGTGCTGCATAAGAAACACAAATACAAAATATGAGTAATTGATGGAAACAATGAACATTCGGTCTACAGAAATCACACAGGACTACAGGAGCCATCAAGTTGGCTCCGATGGCTAACAAAACAACACTGATTTATTATCCAGTTAATGGTCACATATCCACAACATCATAAAGATGAACTCAAACTAGCCCAGATCTAGGAATGTATCCAATTTGTACTTCTTCGATGTTATCAAGTGACATTAGCATACAAGAGATGATTGAGGAACATATATCATTAAAGATTGGCATGAGGCTAATATTTGAACTTTAGAAGCTCATGTATGTAGGTAAAACCTTTTATGTAGGTACCATATAGGTAGGGATGAAAACGGTACGGATATTTTCCGACCGTATTCGAGACCGAATCCGTTTAAAGGGGTTCAAATCTGTTCGTATCCGAGTCCGGATATTCAACATCCGATACCGTATCCGTATCTGAATACTCAAATCGCATATTTATGATGTCAATATTCAATCGTATCCTATCCGATATGGTTGACACTATCCGTATTCGAATCCGAATCCGGACAAAAATATGAAAACAAATGTAACATCAGTGATATCCGTTCGTATCCGATCCGTTTTCATCCCTGCATATAGGTAGGAGTGATCTGGTTTTTACATGAGGTTCAGATATCATACATTGACAGGGACATTGTTCTTTTCACCGAAAAGACACACACACACACACACACACACACACACAATGTTATTAAGCCCATGTGCAATTGACCATATTTTCATGCTGAACTAACTACTTGTGCAAATGGGCAAATTAGGAAGTGATCAAATGCGTACCTGGAGTGCAGAAGCTCACATAGGGAACAACGCGACCCGAGGAGACCTCCCCTACCTTTTTGCAACTCCCAGACTTCAGATCGATGGTGAAATACCCAGCACGTGTCCATAAGAAAATGACACCAGCTCCAGTATCTGCAAAGGCGATCACCAAAGGTTTGGCTAGGATGGCTTCAGATGATTCTAGTACCAGATCAGGCAGGGCATCAGCTGGGAGTAGAATGTGAAGGTCAATGGCTCTGCTTTCTTCCAATCTCCCATTCTCCCTTAGCCACAGGCCAAGTGTTGAATTGCTTGCCCTGGCAAATCCTAGCCTACCATCCTCTGCAGCAATAAGCCTAGAGCTATGTTCCATGATGTCGGGTGGGACACCAGGTCCTATTGTTATGGTAATATTACACATTTGATGTGTCCGCAAGTCATACTTGAGGATTTCATTGGTACATATACACGTGGTGTAGAGGGCAGTGCCAATGGGGATACATTTCCCTGGGACAAAAAAAAAATTCTCGGACTCCTCCGCAGCAAAGACGGGATCACTCCAGCTACCAGCCTCGGATGAGTAGAAACAAGAGAAATTCCTGTCTTCACAATTTCCCACGAAGACTACCTTGAAATGGCAGTGGAGATGGTCGCAGCCGTCGCCTCCAGAGTAGATGACGGCCGCGTCCCAGTTAGCCATGTTCGGGTATCGGGTCGGCCGCAGTGGCACCACGGGCAGGTCCTGCTGCTCGTCCGTGATGGGATGCCACACGGAGAGGAGGACATCCACATCCTTCACGGGGAAACCAGGGGCAACCAGATCCTCCCCGGATAAACGATGGAGGAGGACGCGACCATGGCTTGAGCTGACCGCTCGCACACCGCGGCGGCGTGTACGGGGCGGGCGAAATGATGACAGAGGGACGAAGCGGATGGAGTCGGCGAGATTGAGGACGTAGCCCAGCAATGGTGTCGAGCGGTACAACTCACGGAATCTACGGCGGAAGGAGGGGCCGGTGACGACGCGGTACCACTGCCTGCTGACGAGGGCCGCGCGAGCGAGGAGCGCGGGGTCCTCCGGTGAAAGGCGGAGAAGGAACTCTTCCACAAGCTCGTCGATCAGAACCTCCGGATCCGGTGGCGGTGGTGGCGGCGGGGGCGCGTCGGTGGCTAGGGTTTGGGAAGGCGGGCGATTTGGGGACGGGAGGCTGGGAGAGCGGCTCGAGTGGAGTGAACGCCCAAGGAAAGGATCGCGTAGTGAACTGATGTGCTTCTGCTGCAGCTGCCAGATAATTGGGCCGATGGTGATGAATATGGGCCCAGGATGAGGTGGGCTCAAACGCCATTGCAAAATAGAAATGTTATACAACACGTGTGTTTTAGAAAAAAAAATAACACATGGATTTTTTTTATCTCTCTCCCTCTCTCTTTCTCACCGGCGCGCACACGGCGAGCGCATGCGGCAGCGGAGAACCAGCACCAGCATGCGAGCGAGCGAGCGCGGTGGCCGTCGGGCGAGCGCACACCGGCACACGAATGCGCAGCGCGGGCGAGCGGATGTGCCGGGCGAGCACGGCGCGAGTGGACGCGGTGGGCGAGCATGGCGCGGCTTCGACAAGTGGACACGGAGGGCGAGCGGATGCGGCTCCGGTGAGCGGACGGCTAGCAGCCTGGGAGGAGCGTCGAGTGAGGCAAAGGCGGAGGCGAGCAGCCTGGGCACCAGCAGAGGCTACCTGCAGCGACCGCGACCTGCGATGGTGGCAGCGGCGGATCTGTGATTTGTCCTTCCATAGAAAAAAAATATTTCCTGTGATCTGTGGATCTGTGATCTTGTGATTTTTTTGAAGGTAGAAAAGGGCTGGAGTTAGAAGAAGGGTAGAGGCTGTTGGATCTTAATCTTATGGTATAAAAAAAATCATGTGTTGAAATTGCATAAAACACATGGTTATGTAGTAGACTCCTACAAAATGGGACAAGATACCAGTTTTTCGATTGGAGAGAGAAAACCAAACATCGAGCAAAATTGACCTTTTCTCGTTTATTGTTTCCATGTACATGAATGCTCAATTGCTTTGAGAAACGAGGCAGCGAGGTCGGCGAGCTGTATACGCAACCAAACGATGAAGCTAGCTGGGCAAAAGAACTAAACGTGCTGTAGTGGCAAGGTTGACCTCGCTGGAATTGGCAAGCTTGCCCAGTTGAGCTATATCCCAGCTCAGCAAGACTACCAAACGCACCCTTTTTTTTCAAGTTCAGCTCAATCCACTATATTGACGTGGCTTATGACCAGAACTGAAGGGAAAAAAATTACAATGGCATGGCTTACGACTCCGTTTCAGTAAACAAGGTACCAGACGTCGTTATAACTAAGGATGCAAATGGATATCAAATAGGCCAATAGTGTTTTATACGTCAGCTAATCTGGTACATTTCTGCTCTCAAGTGAAGGTGAATTATGTCGGTGAGGGCGGTTCCAGCTTGATATGGCAATAGCCCCATCATGGCAACTATGCGGGAAGAACGACCGGTGTATGATCTTCCCTTGTGACGTAGCGGTAAGGACTAAGTCTCGTTGGGCGCCTGCCAGAGGGACTTCCTCTTCCTCCTCTAGAGTAGATGGCAATAAGTCTTGAGACCGTCGTCAGGTAAACAGAGGCGGTATTCTTGAGCCTGAGTGGTAGTCGGACAGGGCCTGGAGCCCTGGACCATAGTTGTCCGATGACTCGGAAGCCGACTCGGGAAACTTGGTCGCGCATGAGTCGGTCTCGAGCAGCTTGAATTGTTTCCACGTCCGGGGTTGGACTAGAAATTGAAAATTTGCCAAAATTCTCGACGAGTGCGTCTTGATGAGGAGCTTGATCCGCCGTAGCCTCCACGAGGAGACTATAGAGCATGCTGGTGTCGTCCGCCGTGCAGACCTAGGAACCGAAGATGAAAGTCGATCCCGCCGTGAACGTGGTGACGATCTTGAGGTGCATCGAGCTCTTGAGCTTTTTTTTCGTCGAAAGCCCCTACATGGCGCACCAGCTGTCGGTGTTTGATGACCGGCAACCTTGCTATAGGGTTTTCTAGAGCGAGCATTGGTGGGCTTCGGCGTAAAATCAAACTCGATGGTTAATAAGAGAAAACGATTTAGATAGGTTCAGCCCGCTAAATAGTGTAATACCCTACGTCATGTATGGTGGAATATTTTGCGTTGGATTGTGTAGTATAACGTGTTACGAGGGGATGCTTACGCCTCTCTTTATATAGTCAAGAGGGCAGGTGCAGGATTCTAGTCCTGGCCGATTAAAACAGAAGAGTTCTAGTCCTGTTACAAAGATAGATTTTCTATAATCCGACTAGATCCGTTCTTCTTGCCTTGGAAGCCACGCCACCTATCCGTGCCTTCCTGGCAGTCCATGGGCCGGGCCATATTCTTGCCTGGTAGTCAGCCGTATGGGAAGCCTTAGGATCTTTGGCCGTCACTTACGGTGACGGGGACACTAAACTACAGCTTGGCAACGACGCCACCGTATCATATGCTGATGTGTTAGGCATGCACCACCGTATCATACAGTGAGAACCAGTGACGGGGCGCCTCTCTATGCATGCAACACTATATCATACAATGTAGAGGCGGGGACTGATGTGTCAAAGGTAGGCGATTTGATCTAACAATGCATTGATAGGCATTCACTAAAGAAACAAAAAATCATGAAAAATGTTGTGAACTTGGAAATTTAACCATATGATTTGCTTGTTCACCCTAATGAAAATGACACGGATGGAATTCAAATGTAGGCAAAAAATAGAGACAACAAATATATTGTACTAGGAGAGTTCATATCATATATATTAAATGACTTCTATTACATAGTTAAGAGATGTCATCCCATTGCTCGAAGTCATGAAATCTACTGATAGCTATCGTGTGAATTACCACACGTGGAGCGGGTACTCAGCAAAACTGATCTAGCGACAATGGCGCCCTTCCTTCACAGCCTATCTTGCCGTTGTAGTTGTACATCGTCCACTGCCGGGGTAGATGGGGCATCGCAGCTACCCGTTATTGTTGATGATCCGCAGCTTCTTACCCCGGGGACATGCTTGGCGTACCCATGGCGGTCGTTGGGTGACTAACTGGCAGTGCTAAATTTTTCACTGTCGGGTTCGACATATGATACGGCGGCGAAGGCTGGCACTAATTTCGCCTCTGGATCATACATCGAACCGATGGTAAAAACGTTTATTACCACCAGTTAGTGACCCCACTACGCCCCACCTGCCTCTGGACCGGTGGTGAAGTGTATCACCGCCAGTTCTCACACAACCGGCGATGAAAGTCCAGGCGATGATCAAATTTTCTATAGTAGTGACTGAGGGGGCTTTCTCAATGAACAATGTAAAGATTGGCAAGGAACTAGATATTTAGTCTCTCGAATGTTTTCCATGTAGTAGTTCTATAAAAAAAATGAAATGTGTAGTGCTCATTTAGCTAGACAGATGCACGATAGCAGTCAATTTGTTTACCATTACTTTTGTTGGCTAGCTGTTAATTTTATTGATCGATCTTGAAACCGGCCTGAAAGATTAAAACAAATTAAAAAGTTGATCGGTTTCACATTTCAATCCATAAAGGCTAAAGAGGATACAATTACCATGTAGGAGAACAACATTCTCAAACCTAGAATTGCAAACTAGTAGCATCTCCGTGTCCGTAAGTCATAAGAACGAATTCATAACAACTGCTGGTTTATATTCTAGCTATAGCTAGCTAGGCTTATGTCGAGTACACCACCTTGCAGGAGTATCATTTGAAAAACATTCGGAGTTAAACCATACGCACAAAACCAGCTGGCACGATCCAACACTCCCAGTACATGAACCTATGGGCACCATAACAAACACGTTCTGCCGCTGGTGCATAAACCATAACCATTGCATATATTTGGATAGTACAGTGGTACACGTTGTGCGGCTGGCTAATATATGGTGGTGTAATAATGAATTTCGGAGTCCTTTTCAGTGTTTGTATGATCCGAGGAACTGAATTAAACATCTATATTAGATCGATCAGCTAAAGCAGGGAGAGCAGGTTCATGAAGGACAGGAAAAATTGATCAATAACATAACGTTAATGGGAGATTCGAAACACTTTTTAGAGGCAGTTGAAATCGATTTCTAGAACCGCCTCTACTTGTCTATTTCATCTAAAGTGAACCAGCGAGCTTTAAGACAAATGGGTGTGGGAAGTAACAGATGGAACACTTGGGATTTCTATGGTCAGTATACTCTTTTATACAATAACTAAGCAGAAAGATTTATGGTGGCAGCTTAGCATCCTAAATAAATGTGGGGGTAAAGTAAAAAGGTTGTATTTCGTGGTTTGGTTCATAGTTCCACAGAACTTTATCATCCTGAATTCCTCATCGTCAAGATACTCCTAGTCGCCTTGAAATTGCATTTGTTTAGACATTGACAAGTTACAAGCCCACAACACCCTCCGATACTAAGCATGTTTTTAACTAGCATTCTACATTAATTAATGTTCATGTATACAAATAAGACTTTCATATTGTGCTAATGGTAATTACCTATCTGCTACTAAAAAAGTAACTACCACCTTAATAATTGCCCTTCCACCGCGCATATTTTATCTCCCATTTATGCATATTTTTTAGCTGTAGCATATTCTTTATCTGTTATGCATTTTATATTTTTCCGATCATATTGGTGTAAGATACCATCAGTGAGCTTGCAGTGGCACAGCTCTCCTAAGTTTTCGAGTGAGCATGCAATGATCAATCCATAAACTTGAGCAACGCTGCTGTTCACATCTTGCAGGCCCCGTGCTGAAATTGTTTTGTTTCAGTCATTGTCAATTAGTGTAATTGTTTTGGTTGGGAAGTTTAGAGTAATATATAGAAGAGTATGTTTCCATGGTCATTAGTCCTTCTTTTTACTGAATCACCCATGAACATAGCTTGAGATCAAATCTCATGTATTCCATGTCTTTCTTTTTTTGGGAACAAACAAATCTAAATGGGTCAGCCTGAGTAGTTTCGAGATTGTTTACTGTGTATGTAATTTCTCATCATTCAGTAAGTCTGAGCCTTCTCTATAGAATTCTCTAAATCAGTTGAAGATTTTGGTTCAGTATTTTCCCTCTGCTAAGTATATGCACATGTTTTCTGTGTTCCTCTGTGATTTAGCTTGTTTTCCTGTTTCCTCTGTGATTCAGGGCACCCATTTTTCTTTTCTGTTGTTGTGCTAGCATTCTGAAATCTGAATGGATCTAAAGATGTTCCTTGAAGATCTGCACATGGTAACCTACCTTCTTTAGCTAGTCAGAATTCAAAATGTTTCAGGATAAATATCATAATGGTAGTCGAAGATTTTGCTAGATATCAACACCCTTTTGTTTTCCAAATGCGAGCGGTTAATTAAATGGAGGGATCAAAGATCAACCCTTTAGCCTTTGCTGGGTCCTCATTAAACAGAGCATATAAGAGATATAGAGCATGCCCTCTGCAGTATGGACAAGCCGGCTGATGTTGGAAATGATAGCCTCAATCTGGTGAACCTGGCTACAAAAGTTTCTAGAGAAATCTCTGCATTCGGAACATTAATGAAACTAAACCGAGCATCAGTACTTATCTTGGCTAAAGGCCATCGGTAGACTTATGTTGTTTTAGTGCTGCAGCTAAAACTGATGTATTCCCCCTTATTTTTTCATCTATGCTGTCATCAGTCAAAGGCCTCAAAAGCCTTAAAAGCTCATGCTGAATGTTCACCAATCCTGCTCCCATTGCATACAAAAACAGTCCTCACTATTCTGCATCTACTACAATATTAGACAAATCAATCACACGAATTATTAATGATATTGTATTGGAGTCAACTAATTTCCTTCCATGGTTCCATGCCAAAAGTAGAAGAGGAAATTTTGCCACAATCATACACAGTATTAAATTCCATGTCATACTTTCATACATAAGTCAATATCATTCTCATAATAAGACTGCAAACTCAAATTCCCAAGCACAAAGTGAGTGCAATCCTGATTCAGTTACCATCTTGCAGGAGAGCCCACGACAGCTTCAAACTAAGTAGCAAGCTACTGACTTTAGAGATATATGGTACTACTAATTATTCCCAATACCAGTGATCTAGAATGCATTTAGGCCTGGAGCACAAGGCCAGCACAGCAGCAAAATCAAGAGATATCCCACCGAAAACCATGATTATGTTCTATTAATTTCCTCCTCGATTTAGAAGCCCTTGCACTTGTAATTTAGGCACTTAACGCATGCCAGCAACTCCTGGCCTCTGATTTGCAGAGACCGCAACACCAGCTCCTGATCCCTCATCTGTAGAGACCGAAATACCAGCTATTGGCACCTCATCTGTAGAAATCGCAATACCAGCTCCTAGTATATCATCTGTGGAGACAGCTCCTGGTGCTGCATAAGAAACACAGATACAAAATATGAAGAATTGATGGGAACAGTGGACATTCGGTCTACAGAAATCACACAGGAGTCATCAAGTTGGCTATGATGGCTAACAAAACAGCGCTGATTTATTATTATCCAGTTAATGGTCAAATACCCACATCATAATGATGAACTCAAACTAGTCCAGATCAGGAATATATCTGATTTGTATTTCTACGATATTATCAAGTGACATTAGCATACAAGAGATGATTGAGGAACATATATCATTAAAGATTGGCATGAGGCTAACATTTGAACTTTAGAAGCTCATGTATGTAGGTACCATATAGGTAGCAGTAATCTGGTTTTAACATGAGGTTCAGATATCATACTTTGACAGAGACATTGTCTTTTTTCCGGAAAAGAAAAACACAATGCTGTTGAGCCCATGTGCAGTTGACCAGATTTTCATGTTGAAATAACTACTCGTGCAAATGGCCAAATTAGGAAGCGATCAAATGCGTACCTGGGGTGCAGAAGCTCACGTAGGGAACAACGCGAGCCGAGAAGTTCTCCCCTACCTTTTTGGAATATTTTTTTTAATTTTAACACTTTTTGAAAACTAATTTTAAATTTAACACTGTCGTTTTTTTTAAAAAACTAACACTTTTGGCCGCGCCTATTGCCTCGGGCGCGCCAAAAATGCCCGTGTCAGCGCCATGCATGCATGGTGATGAGCGGCAGCGGCTAACGGCGGCGATCAAATCACCGATCACCGACGTAGGTCTGCCGCGCCACCGATCTTGGCGCGGCAGTGACGCGCCACAGCTGATGGCGCAGCAAGGACGGGATTGAGCACTGCTGCCTGCCAACGCCGCGGCCGCTGCTTTAATTCAAAAGCTTTGTCTGCCACTTTTGTCTCGATATCCGCGGCGTATCCCCACCGCTTTGCATCGGTGCCATATCTCCGGGGCAAGCAGGAAAGCAAGCAAAACACCGTGCCCATGCTCATGCCCTACACAACTGTGATTGTAGTACTTTTCTGTTTGGTCACAATCTGGTACTGGTACATTAATCCTAATGAGGCTCTGGAAGAAAATAGGTGGTGCTCTACACTAGCAATAGCAATGGGCTGTTCCTGAGAAGACCCCTACTGGCTACAGGGCTATGGGCTCTCTCGGTTCCGTCACGTTGCGACCACTGTTGCTGCCATCACCGGCTTGTCAGTTGGCACGCCATACATGCTCGATTATGCTTCCTTCGCTACTAGAGGCGAGCTACTCCACTACTAGTCTATTCGCTTGGTCGTAAACGGCTTGTCGAACAGTATTTTTCTCACACCAAACCGTTCAAAGTAGTAATAATCCACGATCGTAGACAAGACCGCCGAACAGTCAGTAAAGCATGCATGCTTGCTTTGCTTGCTTGGGTTATGCATGTCCAGTCCAGCCGCATTTACTAGCTACAGAGAGCTACAACCATCAAGAACTCCGCCACTTGCACACCGCCACGAGAGCACACTCGGCAAGACAAAGACACCAAAGCAGCGGGCGCTTTTGACTCAACAGCCATGCATGCAACGTGTGAGCAGTGACATAATGCGTCAGGCAGTGTCCCTGGCACCGTCGCTCTGCACCGTTGCAAAAGAGAATGCATAAATTAATTTACACTGTACAACTTG